ACAGATATCTTTCCAGTCAGAGTAATAGCTACTCAAGGCTAACGTTTTTTGTATACAGTCACATGGCAAATTCCTTTCACGCAGATCATCTCACTTGTCTCCTGACGTAGAGTTAGGAAGCATAGTGTTATTCCAATAATGCAGATGAGGAAACAGGCATACGGATGTTGAATTACATGCCCAAGATCGTGAGTGGCAAAGTCAGAAATTTCCCACATCAGATTCTTAATCACCATACTAGGCTGCCTGACATAGTGCTTAATTACTCTTCTGGACAAGATGCTATTACTTGAAAACCTGTGTAGCTCTCAGACAACCAGCTGTGCACAGTAGGCACTTAAATATTTAATTTGAGGTTTATGATTCTTGTTGATTTCCAGGGTATTGCCTTTTAGCTCCTACATGTCAGTAAGGAAAGTATGAGAAAAATGGGTAAGTCATGCTATTAGGCAATTAACAGGAAAAATAAATGGAAAGTGAAAAGATACTCTTTCTTATTCATGAAAATATATTTTAAAAAAGATTTATTTAATTCCATTTGTTGTTAGTATTTTTTAATTTGACCAGACAGAGAGAGAGAGAAAAGGGAAAGCTAAGAAAGCAAACCACCAGGTCTGGGACTCAAACCATGGTTGGCCATGTAGGAATCTAGTGCCTTCAACTACCATGCCACCTGCCAGCCCCACCATGAAAATATTTTTCTAGATGGCTTCAGGAGACCCAAGTAAATGCAACAGCTTTTTATATTTATAGGTACAACACATGAACAACAAGGAATATTAAAATGTTTATGAAATTCCAGAGAGAATTATTAACACAGGCAAGCATATATGAACTTTTATTAATATTTAGTGGAGATGATAATATCAGAGTACTATTGCAATAGAAACAATATATCGGTGAACATCATTCCACATTAATGAACACTTGATGATGTTACCCTTATAGTATAGTAGTATTCCATTGGTTTTCATAGGGACAGAAGCTCAGTTTGTTTCATTGGTTCTTCATATTAACTTTTTTTTTTTTTTTTTTGGCATAGTGTGCCTACACCTGCCAGAGAGAGAGAGAGAGAGAATCATCATGGACATCCCCCTAGGGGGTGCTCTCTTCTACATCCTCCTCTTAGGATTTTGGGCATACATGCCCAACACATTAACTTATTATGTGTGAAGTGAAAGTAAAGGATAAAACTTTAGATCTTCCACATATTTTCCTTTCTTAAAAATTTGAAATGACTTGTTTAGTAGTATTATTTGCTGTGATTTCTTTTTTCCACTGTGACTATTTTGCTAGAATTAATCAGGATGCATTATGATTGTGATTACTGGGATTAGTTTTTATTAAGGACAGTTGTATGAGAGAATTTCAAGAAGCTTGTGCCAGCAGGTGGCATGGTGGTTAAGAGGTTGGACTCCCACATGGCTAATCATGGTTTGAGTCCTGGACCAAGCTGCTTGAACCTCATTCCGGACGTGTGTAAGTGCATGCCCAAGATTGCAGGAGGAGAATGGAGGAGAGAGGACTGTGGTGTGGCCATCCTCCCTGGGGGTGACTTCTCACTTTCCCTGTCATTGTCGCTGTTTATGTTGAGTGCATGTGTCCTATGGCAAAAACCTTAAAAAAAAAAAAAAAGTCAGGAAAAATCCCCAAGTTTATTTTGGTACAAAACAATTTTTCCAAGTCCATGTATAGTTTTGCTTGTTTATTTGTTTTTTAAATAATACACGGTTTCTGGGACCAGCAGTTGGCACAATGGCTATGTCACTGGACTCCCATATAGTTGACTGCAGTTCAAGTCCTGGACCAGGTGGCTTAAACTCACACTGGGTGCATGTGTGTGCGTTCTCAAGATCCCTGGAGGAAAATGGAGGAGAAGGGATTGTGGCGTGACCATCACCCCCGGGGATGATTTCTTGCTTTCTATTTCTCTGTCTCTTTCTGTCTTTCTGGCAAGCGCATGTGCCCTATAGCAAAAACCTCTCAAAATAATAATACGTGGTTTCCATGAACTTTTTTAAAAGAGGTTTTTGCCTTATGATGTGTGTGTTCACTGGAGAGAAAGAGAGACACAGTGAGAGGGAAAGTGAGAAGACATCTCCTGAGGGTGTGACCATACCACAATCCCTTCTCCATTGTCCTCCCAGGATGTTAGGCATGCTTGCACATGCTTCTGGCATGATTTTTAAGCCACCGGGTCTGGGACTCTAACTACTGTGGGCTATATGGGATTCCAGCAGCATAACTGCTATGCCATCTACTGATCCCATCCATGAACTTTCTTTTTTTTTTTTTTGGAGAGGTTTTTAAGCTATAGGGCATGTGCACTCTCCAGACAGACAGAGACAGAGATAGAAAGCGAGAAATCACCCCCCAGGGGGGATGGCTACGCTGCAATCCCTTCTCCTCCATTATCCTCTCGGGATCTTGGGCACACATGCACACGCGCCCGGCGTGAGTTTAAGCTACCGGGTCTGGGACTCGAACCGTGGTCAACTACATGGGAGTCCAGCGACATAGCCACTACGCTAACTGCTGGTCCCCTCATCCATGAACTTTCTGAAGACTCCTCATACTATCCTTTCTTTGAGAGGTGCCATTAGGCTCATCCATTGAACACATTAATTAGTAGTTTAATAAATCAGTATGTCATTAACATTTTTTCTAAAGAATAATGAAAATTGTAACATACTAGAAATTACTTGAGCTTTGGAGTGAAACTGTCCTGGTTCAAGGTTCAGATCTAAGCTCTACCAGTTTAGTTACGTAAATAATTTGGACAAATCATGAACATTCTGAACCTCAGTTTTCTTGTCAGGGAAATAGCAATGATGATTGCTGTGTGACTGGAGGAATAATTTAACATGAGAAGCACACGTAAAGCACTCAGTGTAGTGACAATGTTAGTTTTCACTCACATAGTTAGACAAGGGGTTCTCAACCATTTTTGTGCCATTGACCCCTTTGCCAGCCTGGTGAAGGCCATGAAAGGACCTCTTCTTTTTTTTTTTTTTTGGAGAGGTTTTTGCTATAGGGTGTGTGTGCTCACCAGAAAGACAGAGACAAAGACAAAAAGCAAGAAATTGTCCCCCAGGGGGGATGGCCACGCCGCAATCCCTTCTCCTCCATTTTCCTCTTGAGATCTTGGGCACACAAGCACCTCCGCCTGGCATGAGTTTAAGCCACCGGGTCCGGGACTCGAACCGCAGTCAACTATATGGGAGTCCAGTGACATAGCCATTATGCCAACTGCTGGTCCCAGAAGGACCTCTTCTCAAAGATTTTTAAATGCATGGGGCTGGCAGGTGACATGGTTAAAGGTGCTAGATTCCCACATAGCCAACCACAGTTCAAGTCCCCGGCCTGGTGGCTTACATTCTTACTTTTTCCCTTTCTCTCACTCTGTCTTTCTCTGGTCAAATAATAACAACAACAACAACAACATCAAAATAAGTAGAATTAAATATTTAAAAAACAGTAAAAAAATTACTTTATAAAAAGATTTTTAAACACATAAAATATAATGCCTGGGAATATAAGAAAACTTACGTTGAATACAGTTATCAGATGCTTAGAACAAATTTGTGGTGCTTTTCTGTTTCAAATACCTATTTGAACTGAGGTGAGGAATAGAATAGATTTAAACAAAAGAGAGATAGGAAGCAGGTAAGGAAAAGATGGGAGAAGGAATGGGAGAATGCTCATAAATATATAAGCCTGTTTTTTTTGTTTTGTTTTTAAGAGATTTTTGCTATAGGGAGCATGCACTCACCAGAGAGACAGAGACAGAAAGCGAGAAATCGCCCCCTGTGGGGATGGCCATGCTGTAATTCCTTCTCCTCTCTGGGTCTTGGGCATACACACGTGCCTGGCGTGAGGTTTAAGCCACCAGGTCCGGAGCTTGAACTGTGGTCGACTACATAGGAGTCCAGCAGTATAACTATTACACCATCTACTGGTCCCCCCATATGCCTGTTTTTAACTTCCTCCCAAGTTGTCATCCCAAATTTCTATAGAGCTCTTGGACATTTCCTCTCAGCATCCTAGCAGCAACTCACCCTACCAGCCAAGTTAGTTCTCCCAAACCAGCTTTCTTCCCTGTTGCCCCTTCTTTTTTTGTTTTTAAAGAATTATTTTATTTAACTTTTTTATTTAAAATTTTTTGACTAGAGAGGGACAAAGTGAGAGAGAAAGAAAGTGAAAAAGCCACCAGGCCCAGGACTTGAACTGTGGTCAGCCCTGTGGGAGTCCAGAGTCCCTACCAGCCCCCCAGTTTTCACTTCTTGATGTCATCATTTTCTCTTATTACCTCAAGTCTAAAACCTCAAATCACATCTGAGTCTTCACTTTTTCATCCTATTCCATCTTCATATCAGTCATGGCTGTCTGTAGATTTTATCTTTACACTAGTCAATTTCTACTACCCAAATTTTAAAACTTATTTTCTTCTAATACAAGCATTTACTGCTTTCTCCCCAACTTCTTGCCTACTGCTGGTGATATCAGACCAAGTCTTAATGTCGAAAACCTGCTGGGAATTTTGTATATATTGACATTTTTACTAATGCAAGTCCCCAAATTATTTAGTCCTGATTGTTTTATGGTGTTACCTGTGGTAAAAACTGTGGACATAGTTTTTTCTACTGTAAAGCCCTGTATTTGTCCTCTTAGCTCCTGCCCAGGGCATGACATGTAATAGATGCCTTATACATTTTGTTAGATGAATTGCCTTCTGCCTGGAAATTAACTTGTGCATGAAAAATTGCTTGTTCACCTTAAAGAGCTTGGGTGTGTACATAGAATAGTATAAACTCCAGTTATAAAAATGAATATGATTTTAAAAAGCGTAGTAGAAGAGGAAAGAAAGATGATCTTACCGGGAAAAGCAGTTTTAGTAACATGGATCTAAAGTAATATCCTAATGATCTCAGGGGGGTTTGATAATTTTTTTGCCATCAATGCCTTTGCTTTTGGTTAAATTCTTGTACTTGTATTCTTAGGTTAAAACATCAGAATTTTATAGATACTCTCGACAACTGCGTTATGAAGTTGACCAGGCATTGAATTACTTTCAGAATGTTCACCAGCAGCCTTTGTTGGACATGAAATCAAGCCGCATCCGTTCTGCCAAACCCCAAACTACAGTATTCCGAGGAATGATTGGACATAGCATGGTCAACAGTAAAATACTTCTCTTGAAGAAACCAAGAGTCTGGTGGGAACTTGAGGGCCCACAGGTACCTCTACGCCCTGACTGCCTTGCTATTGTCAATAATTTCGTGTTCCTGTTAGGTGGGGAAGAACTGGGCCCAGATGGTGAATTCCATGCTTCTTCCAAAGTGTTCAGGTATGACCCAAGACAGAACTCTTGGCTGCGGATGGCCGACATGTCTGTCCCACGTTCAGAATTTGCAGTGGGTGTTATCGGGAAGTTTATCTACGCTGTTGCAGGCAGAACCAGAGATGAAACTTTCTATTCCACTGAGAGATATGACATCACCAATGATAAGTGGGAATTTGTGGATCCTTACCCAGTTAACAAATATGGACATGAAGGGACAGTGCTCAATAACAAGTTGTTTATCACTGGTGGAATCACCTCATCTTCCACCTCTAAACAAGTGTGCGTGTTTGACCCCAGTAAAGAAGGGACCATAGAACAACGGACCAGAAGAACTCAAGTCGTCACCAACTGTTGGGAGAATAAGAGCAAGATGAATTATGCAAGATGCTTTCACAAGATGATCTCTTACAACGGCAAGCTTTATGTCTTCGGTGGTGTCTGCGTGATCTTGAGGGCCTCTTTTGAATCTCAGGGATGCCCTTCCACTGAAGTGTACAACCCAGAGACTGATCAGTGGACCATCTTAGCATCCATGCCAATTGGTAGAAGTGGCCATGGTGTGACTGTGCTGGACAAACAAATAATGGTTCTCGGAGGCCTTTGTTATAATGGTCATTACAGTGATTCCATTCTCACTTTTGATCCGGATGAAAACAAATGGAAGGAAGACGAGTACCCTCGAATGCCCTGCAAACTGGATGGTTTACAAGTATGCAACCTGCATTTTCCGGACTATGTACTGGATGAGGTCAGGCGCTGCAACTGATAACATCTTTCTCCCTTAAAAAAAAGCAAACAAAGCATTTGTTTGTGATAAAGTAGCTAACTACAAAATATAAAGAAAAACCTCACCAGTTTTACTATCAAAGCCATTGGTCTAATATCTTAAGAATTTTCATTCTGTGCTAGCATCCTGTTTTTTCTTTTCAGTGGCCTCAAACTCATGCAATAAGTTAATTCTAAGCGCTAGCTCTTGAAACTATTTCCAGAAGCAGTTTGATAGAATGCTCCACTTATCTGGGAAGTTGATTTTCTGCTTTCAACATTTCTTTCAGATGTTAGTGTAGGAGTCACGCATCTTCTAAGAGAAGACCCGATAAGTGTGATCTGATTTCAGTCTCCCTATCTGAAACCTTTTTGAACATTTATTTCAGTGTATTTCAGTCTGTTATATTTTTTTGGTTATATTATTTAAAAGTTTAAAACTTTTGACCTTTTTGCATGGCTTTTTGCTGAAAATGCAAAAATATAAATTTTCTACAAAATTAACTTTTTATATTCAAAACACTATTTCTAAGCTGCCTTCTCTTATCTGCATTGTATTAGTGAAAGCACATTCATACTCACATACATTCTATAAATATATAAGGCACATCCCTTTTACGTGTGGTTAGGATTCTATATTTTTAAGCTAGTGCACTTGCACACACGGTTCGCCATACTTGTTGAATTTTAGATGTAATGTCTTTTCATGTATTAACGTTTTTAGAAAGTTAAAATAACTGGAGTCCTCATTTGGTATCTTCAGTCCATACTGATTCAGTAATATTTGAACTTTTATTTCTGAACCTTGTATGGATTTATAAAAACTAACATTTTATATTTTATTTTCCAAAGTAAACATTAGTGTTCCTTATGGATATATGTCTTTACTTCTTGAAAATGTTTTTCTTTGCAGTCTGTTTAACGTTGCCCTGTTTTTATTGAGAATCGGAGTGGTATTTGACAACCTCTGACCCTGCAGCGTGCAAGCACTTTTAAAGAGAATTTAGGTAATACTAGACTCCTAAATAGAGGCCCCTTAAAAGTAAGTGCAACTCCCATTCTTTACATTTAGTAAGGCTGCTGTATCTGTTATTGAATGGAAGGTAGCAACTCTTAGAAAATTTGAGGTCAGTTTTGACTTAGAGGTAAGAAATAGAATGATAATGTTACTGGTCATGTCTACTTGTTTATTTCATATGAAATACTCAGTGGCACTGCGGCACTAGGGATGTAAGCTCTCAGCTTTTGTTTTATTTACTGAAAGCTACTAGCATGAAGGATAGTAACCACAAAGTTCAAGATGGATCAAGAATAGCTCCTTAAAAGCATTTATACAAAGTGTTTTAGGATTAGCTGCATCTTTCAACTGAATAAACACGAAGGACAGAAGTGTAGTTAACAAAATCAAGCAAGAATAACCTGGGAGTGGGTCATTCACATGGATGCCATTTTCTCATGAGTAGTCTATATCTGATAGAGACTAGGTCTACACTGGCAAAACTTGCCAGATCTTAGGATGTTGGTGCAATATTGCAATGCCTTCTATATGGCTGCTGTTGTTTTAATTTTCTAGGTGTGTGTTTTTTTTTTTTTTGCTGCTGCCACCATTGAAAATAAAATGGAAGCGTGAAGTCATGGAAATGTGAAGACTTAGGTTTTTTTTGTGGTTTTATTGCAGATCAGTTAGACATACTATAGCATAAAACCTGATTTTAAAAACTCTAGAACTTGGAGGCATTTCAGTTCAAGACATAATCAGGTACACAAGTAGCTTTTGAAAAAGAAAACACATTGGCATTGGTTTCAGATGTCGTGTTAATAATATTCTTTTGTATATGAGACTCAAATTTTCATCAAGTGGTTCTGTCATTTACTTAACAGCCTCTAAAAAATGAGATTCAAATATGTTTCCCATGAAAATGTGGGGAAATTCTTTTTTTTTTACATTTAAATTTTTTTAATTACTTTTGAAAACTAAGAAAAAGGTTAACCATTTAATTTTTTTGTCTAATGCATTATTTCCTTTAGGGTTTTGTATGTGTGTTGTCTTGCTTTAAAGAAAATAACGTCTTCATTATTTTCCTCATTGATGTCTTTTGCTGGAAATGACTGAGAAAGAGCCATCAGACAGGGTACCCGAATCAAAGGCTTTACACTCCAGTGGTGGTTCTCTTAAAAAATTGCTTAGATATGACTTCATAGCTCAATTAGGGTATCATCTGGGCAAACAATTGCATATTCTTGGTCTTCATTTTAAAGACAGAAGGCCAAGGTCAAGGTTTATGGTTGTAAAATTTGTGAAATCTTAACTTGAACTAACTCTGGGTTCAGCCTCACGTAAGTCATGTCTGACCTGATGTTAGCTGTAATCAGTTTTGAGCTTTAAGAATAGTTGCTATTGCTTGGGTTCTGAATGTATGAGAAAATTCTTCTGTTTATATGTAGTTCTAATTTAGGTTATTTTAAATCCACGATTAACTTACATTCCCTTTTAAAATTATAGTTTAATTGCTGCAAGAGATTTATTTTTGTTATACTAAACTATGGAAAAGTTTTTCATAGAATTTTTTTCAAGTATATTTTTTGCGTGCTTCATTTCGAACCGTTTTTGTTTATATACATTGTATGCGCTCAAAATAGTTTTAAAAAATGTAGTTAGAGCTTTGAAACTTACACAGTATAACTGTTGTGATCCTTATCTGTGTTATTTTCACTCTATATTTTAAATGCTGGACTTTGTCCAAACAGCTGGTCTTCATTAATTGCATTTTAATTAGAACTGTTTATTCTCTCCCATGTCTTTGACCTTCTGAGTTTTGATTTTAAAAGAAAATCCTTGCACTACAACCTTTTCATAAAATGCAAGATTCTCACATTGAAGGTTTTGTATTGAAAGAAATGCTACTGGTTTTTAAAAAGCAAAGCTTAATAGAATTATTAGCTTTTCTCGAGACAGATTTCTCTGTGTCCTCATTCCTGTGCTCTCTGTGAGTGTTACTACAATTGTGAAATACTGACTGAGCCCTTGATGTTATCTTCTCTAAAGCAGCACCTTCGGACACCTCATTCTGGGAAGCCTGCTCGAGTCACAGTAAAGGACACACACATGTGTGTGGGGAGAAGTGGTCAAAACGGAGAGTTTGTCTTAATTACATGAAACTAAGCTTTAAAATATTTTATAACAAATTATTTGAGCTGCATAATCTAAACCTGTCAAATGTGCAGTGGGACTATTTTTATATATGTATATGTGGGTGTAGGTCATAACATTTCAGTTTATAATATAAATTGTTATTTCAGTTTATAAGCTATCTCTCAGAAGAGACTAGCTCTTTTGAGAATACATAATTTAAAGTTTTAGACTGAAGTAAAACACAGCATAGAGAATAGTGTAAATTAGATATAACTGAGGGCTGTCTGGCAGTAAAACTGCTAGTGCCAGTTTTCTCCTTTGCCTTTTCCCCAGTATTGATTTTTTTTTTTTTTTTTGGTATTCTGAACATTTTTAGAATCTAGTTTGTTCAGTCTCATTTAGAGTCGGTTTGGGAATAAATATCTTCTAAAAAGAGATTTATCTTAAAAACGAAAGTCATGAAATATTAGTTTATTGAGAGTTTATAAAGTCAGATATTCAATAGGCATAGACTGGAATAGATACATTCATGGAAATCATATCCTTTCAGTATACCAGTGTAACTCCAATATTACATGAGTAACATTGAGAGGATGCCATCAGCTTTGTTCCCCATTAATATCTTGGGTTTGTTTTTGGTTTTTGTTTTTGTGGTTTTTTTTTTTTAACATCTTTGGGAACAACTGCATTACCAGTTTTATTAATCAGTATACCAGTAAGGATCAGGTGTTTGCTTTTTGAAGGAATGTTCCAGCGAGGTGATCAGAGAGGTTATTTTCTACCTAACTTGTATCTGCCCTATACCTCTTGGGCATACTTTGTCTATAGAAAAATATTTTGACCTTTAGGTACATTTTGGGCCAGTAGTCGAATAATCCTAGGGCCGATATAAAAATCCTAGAATAATTTAAGGTTTGCCTTTTATACCTGTTTTGAAAGCCTTTACATTTTTGTCAGGTAATTTTTCCCACGCCGTGGATATAATCTATTCAAACATGTTTATGCTATCCATTCTGTTTTTAAATTGAAAAAAATGTTAAAAGTGTTTATGAAGAAAAGTTTAAATAAAATATTTTTAATCTTTAAAATATACTTCTTTATCTCTGATTATTTACTATCTTTATATACTCCATCACTTTGAAAGTCACTAGTGTTTTGATTAACAGTATATATTTTGTTTTCCTTCAACATGCCAAGAAGTGCCATAAAAATGTGATCTCTGTGCTTGCTTTGGCATCACATGTACTAAAATTGGAACAATACAGAGAAGATGAGCATGGCCCCTGTGCAAGGATGACACACAAATCTGTGAAGTGGTCCATATATATATATTTTTTTGAGAGGTTTTTACTATAGGGCGTGTGCGCTCACCAGACAGACAAAGAGACATAGAGACAGAAAGCAAGAAATCACCCCTCAGGGGAGATGGTCATGCCGCAATCCCTTCTCCTCCATTCTCCTCTTGGGATCTTGGGCACGCACGCACAAGCGCCCGGCGTGAATTCTAAGCCACCGGGTCTGGGACGCGAACCGCGGTTGACTATGTGGGAGTCCAGCGACATAGCCATTACGCTAACTGCTGGTTCCCAAGTGGTCCATATTTTGGAGAGGTTTTCGCTATAGGGCGTGTACACTCGCCAGACAGAGAGACATAGAGACAGAAAGAGAGAAATCACCCCCCAGAGGGGATGGTCACACCGCAATCCCTTCTCCATTCTCCTCTCAGGATCTTGGGCACGCACGCACAAGCGCCCGGCGTGAATTCTAAGCCACCGGGTCTGGGACGCGAACCGCGGTTGACTATGTGGGAGTCCAGCGACATAGCCATTACGCTAACTGCTGGTTCCCCCAAGTGGTCCATATTTTTAAGAGAAAGATTTCTGAGACTATTATTGCCTGTTAAATATAACAAAAAAAAGATTTCTATCATTGCTTTCAGCCACAGATTCAAATAAGCATTAGAGTAGAATTATTCATACTCTAATATGCAATGGAAATTTTATAATGAAGCCAAGTAATTAGAGTTCCAGTAATACAAGACTGAGGAAATATAGAACTGAGGGAAAAGCATGTATAAGCCCCAAGTCTTAGTTTGGTGATTTTTAGATTTCTCTGAACATTTTTAATTCATTGTCCTTATTTCATTCCTGAATTTAGGGAACAGGCAGAGACCTTGGGCATAATAGGCATATGTGTGCCTTCTTTTAAATGGACTCCTAAAGAACCTCAATGGGATTCCCAAGCACCTAGATCCTGGTCTTAAGCCACCCATCTGGCTCCTTTCTCCCCATCATTTCATACACTCCATTTTGGTATGATCTTCATAATTCATGTTCAGCCTCCAATTACTTGTCTTTCTTTCTCTATACCTGCTTGTCAGAATCCACTTATTTTGCAAAGTCCAACTCAAACACTTCCTTCCCCTCCTAAAACCTACTTCCGTTGAGCTAATTTCTTCTTCTACATTCACTATATTTATAGCTTCTATTTTGTTTCATCTTTCATAATAAGTTGGTTTCACATCTTCTTCCACAACTAGATCATAGTGTTCTTGGATGGGAGGTCCTTCTTTTACTCTTCTTCATCCCCTGATGTCTAGCAGGATACTTTGTACATTCTAGGCACTGAGCCAAATGTTGATGGCAGCGTATGACAAATTCCATGCAAGCTACAGGTGCTATTGGCATTCTGATGAGGGAGATACTTCAGCTCCCCGGTTTTGTGTGTCTGCACGCTTCCTGCACAGCCTCCTCCACACCTACGGCATCATTTAACAACTTTTATTCTGATATCTTTTAGATATTTATTTGTCAATCTAGAGTCCCAAGCATCTCCTGAACATCACTCTCATATTATGTATCGAGTTTCATACTATTTTTTTTTTCTGGCACCAGAGTTCAGGACTTTTTAAAATTTGTCCTAAAGTCATCGAAGCTCGAGGTTCATACTAAACAACTCCAACTCGAATCTGTTTTCTCATCCCCTAAAACCTGCCCCTGCCCTCTACTCTGTTATTATGTGGCTCTACCATTGCCTCTGATATTTCAAGCTCAAGTCTGGGAATGCCTTTTCCCTCTTCATTACAACATCTTAGTTCATCCAGTTCTAGTCTCTCAACTGCCCTCTCCTCTCTGTCCATACTGCCCTAGTGCAGGCCTTCATCATTCTTGTTGGACTCCTGGAACTGTTTTATGATCCTTTACCTCCATGACAGGTTTTTTCCACCGCTGCCATAGGGAGCTTTCTAAAGGTAATGTGATCCTGAGAATCACTAGCCTTCTATAATCCCCTTTTGAGAAGATCCAAACTCCCTAGCATGCCAAACATGGTCCTTCATGTCTTGTTCCCTTATACTTGGTCAGTCTCATACAATGTCCTCTAGCTGTGCAGGCTCATTGATGTTCCCGAGAAGGCCATGTTTTGTTATGCCTTTCTGCCCTAGCATATGCTCATCCCCACTTTCTTTCCTAGCTAACCCTTTCTTGGACTTCAAGAACCAGCCCAGGCATTGTGGCCTGTATCATGCCTTTTTTGTAACTCCCTCCGCAGGCCGAGTTGATGCTGTCCCCTTGGCTGTAGAACCCTGTGGATTCCTGGACCTCACCTTGTCTGACACTTGATTAAAACTGTCTCTCGAAGGCGAACACTATCTGTGTTTTTTATCTTTTTTCCAAGAGTCTTAATGTCTGGCACGAGGTAAATCCTCCTTAATAAAAATAGAGCCCAAGGGAACCAACAGTTAGCATAATGGCTATGTCGCTGGACTCCCACGTAGTTGACTGCGGTTCGCGTCCTGGACCTGGTGGCTTAAAACCCACGCCGGGCGCGTGTGCGTGCGTGCCCAAGATCCCACGAGGAGAATGGAGGAGAAAGGATTGTGTGTGGCCATCCCCCCGGGGGGATTTTTTGCTTTCTGTCTCTCTGTCTGTCTCTGTCTGTCTGGCGAGCGCACACGCCCTATAGTGAAAAACCTCTCAAAAAAAAAAAAATAGAGCCCAGAAACTTGGAAGGTTACCAGTGGAATACTCTGGTGAGGAGGGATGGCTGTATTAGAGCTTGGTTGCCCACCTTGGTCTCCCTGAAGAATTGCCCTCTGGCCATTTCTACTACCACAGCTCCCAGGTCCCAAAAGCTGATGCATACAGCTGTCACAGTTGTCAACAGATACTTCTTCCCTTAATGTCTCAGTATTTCTGACTCTGGCTGGAAGTAGAAAGTAGAACACAAAGGGTTGTTTTGCAGAACAATCTTGTGAGATACTGGCGGGGGGGGGG